GCAGGTCAGGCAGAGGTTACTGACAACCCAGAGTCGCCAGAAGAGTTACGCAGACCGACGATGATCCGAGCTGGAGTTCCAGGTTGGAGATTTTGTCCTCCTGAAGGTATCCCCATGGAAAGGGGTGATCTGATTCAGGAAGGGGGGAAAGTTGGGCCCCAGATATATCGGTTCTTTCAGAGTGACTGCCAGAGTGAGGAAGGTAGCTTATCGGTTGGAGCTACCTGCAGAGTTGAGCCAGATTAATAACACCTTCCACGTGTCCCAGTTGGGGAAGTGTGTAGCCGATGAGATGACAGTGGTACCCTTGGAGGACATTCATGTGGATGCTAGCCTAAATTACATTGAGAGGCCGATAGCAATTTTGGATAGAAAGGTTAAGATCCTAAGGAACAAGGAGGTGAGACTGGTTAATGTGCAGTGGGAGCACCGCAGGGGATCCGAGTGGACTTGGAAGCCGGAGTCCGAGGTGCGCGAGTAGTACCCTGAGTTGTCTCTGGAGCATGACTTCGAGGGCGAAGTCTGATTCTAGTGGGGGAGAATTGTAACATTCCGACTCTCAGGTATAATATTTATATATTTATTTTTGGGATTGAATGAGTGACTCGACGAGTTGTATGCCCGAATCGTCGAGTAGAGTCGGATTGGTCACGTGGGTTTAATGACCAACTCGACAAGTTAGAGATCCGACTCGCCGAGTTGGCACTGTGTAAGGAAACCCTAAATCTTCGGGTTTGTGTCCTTTTTAAAGGGCCTTAAGCCCTCATTTCCACCTCACCAGACACCCAACTCCCCTATGTGAAACCCTAATCGCCTAGAGTGAACTAAGAGAGAAAAGAGAGTTAATCTTGGGCATTTTGAGAGCATCAAAGCTTGGATCAAGAGGAGGCTTTTGGATCCAGAGATTCCTCAGAGATTTGCTTCAGTTGGAGGTAAAAAGATGCTAACTTGATCATTTCCTTATGAGATCTTGGTTTAGGGAGTTTTTAGGGTTTTCTCTTATCCATCTTGTTTCATTAAGTCATTTGAGCATGGCTTGAGATTGAAACCTCAGTTCTGGACTGTAGGGAGCCTTGTGAGTCCAAAGACCCGAGCTTTATTGAGCTGGAGGCAAGCTCTTGTGCATCTAACCCTTGTTGGAGCTTGTATTGGCAGTTTGAGCCTAATATGCCATGCATGCACGTAAAGCTTGCAGCTTTACGTGATATTCGAGCCTTAGGAAGATAGATCTGGAGTATGGGGTATCAGTTCTGCCTTAAAACATCTGAAGGAGAATTCAACTTAAGGGACTCGACGAGTCGATAAGCTGACTCGACGAGTCGGTTGGAGTTCGTCCCGATGAGTCTGACCACGCGGTAACTCGACGAGTTGACGGGTCAACCTGGCGAGTTGAGTTGGACTTTCATGAAGGTTCTGAGGAACCGAAGGGACTCGAAGAGTTGCATAGATGCGCTCGACGAGTTGGGTCAACATGGACTGTTGACTCGAGTGTTGACTTCTGTTGACTTTAGGGTTTGGTCAAACTTGAGGGATATAGGTCATGGAGGGGTAAAATGGTCTTTTACCCATCCCAAGAATTAAAGAGGGACTATCATGAGTTTATTTAGAGTTGTGATCTTTAAGTGTTAATTAGAGATGCTTATTACATGTAGGCGGGGATTAGACTGTTCGAGGGGTATTAAGTTTCCTTGGTTGCTTACGAGGTGAGTCTTCTCACTATACTTACCTAGAGTGGTAACATTTGTGTGACCGGAGGGTCTTATGTGCTTATATTGAGTATTGTGATATCCTGCATTATGTCCTTGTGATTTATGTTGTGTATTATCCTGAGCTTACTGAGTTAGGACCATAGGGTCCACCCGAGTTGTGGGACCGGAGGGTTCCACTGAGACACATTGACCGGAGGGTCTTATTTGAGTATAGTCATGCCAGGCTAATGAGTTATGTGTGTTATTTTGGGGAACTCACTAAGCTTCGTGCTTACCGTGTTATGTGTTATGTGTTTCAGGTACTTCTCAGGATCACGGGAAGGCGCCAACTTGATTGTACACACGAGGCGGAGTTATATTTTGAGGATCCTGGATTGTGTTTAAAACATTTTCTGAATATGTGTTTTTGGAAACATTGTCATTTGGGGGTTTTGTGAACTATGTTATGAGAATTATGTGATTTTTAAAATGAAAATTTTGTTTGAAAATTTACGATGTTACACCGAGAGTGCAATTCTCCATATTGATTTCTTATTTTAGATGCTTTTTATGCTATTATGTGCTAGATATATTTTGAGTTTATTGTTGAATTATATAATGTTTTCCGTATGTGAAATGTTTAACTATGAGTATTATTTGTGCATTGCATGGAAAATCACTTTCGGAAAGCATGATGCTCATTTGAGCTATTGTTGATTCGAAACTATTTTGACATCATTCATGTGCATATATTTAGGATGGGAGTCTATGATTGTTCCATATTATATCCATGTGGGATTTGGCAATTTAGGTGTCATTAAGTCGGTGTGTGACTAGATTTCTAGATAACCCTCACCCGCACAAGTAGAGGCTCGCTACCCCTTATGTGGCTTAGGGTGATTGTTCCTTAATGCCTAGTTTATCCTTGATTACCCTTATTGATGTTTTTTGTATTGTCAATATTTGCTACCCAAAGTTTATCCTTTTGGATATGTTTGGAACTATGGGTTATATAATCCCTTATTTTGTTTGGTTTAGGTCCTTATAACCCTATTTTAAATTGGTTTTGCATACTTATTGATTATTCATTTGCTTTGTACGATGGAATACTAATTCCGTTATTATAGATGGTGGCTTAGTAAGCCATTCATATTGACTTTGGTAATTTCCTTCTTTGGATAGAATTTTTGAGTTATTAAACTCTTGATTTGTGGATTGTGGATTTTATATCATTGGATTTGAGTACGGGTATATATATACCCTTTGTTCTTGATTATTGGTTGTTTTGGGTCATAAAAACACTAAAATGATTTATAATGTTTTTTAAAAGTTTGGAGGTTTGATTCAATTAAGAAGATTGTTATCTTCTTAGTCAAAATGAATCAACCTTGGGTATTCTCACTAGGTATTCCATTGCCTAACTTATTTTGACTTGTGCTCAGATTGAAGACTATAGAGGCGAGATTAGAAGTAGCAAGGACTTTTGAAAAGTCCATGACATGTAAACTATGTTATGATATTTTGGTTGTTACACCCTCACTGTCTGAACTTTTAAACTTCTTTTTAATTTTTGGATTGTTATTTCCACAAAATAAAATTTATTTTTCGGGATCTAAAAATTAATGATTTTAAAAGGTTATTTAAAATTGACCCTAGAGAGGGGTGTTTCACTATGCACTATATAAGGCATGGAAAACCCTTTGAGAGTTAAGGAAACACTAAATTTCTTTCTCCACCTTTTCTCTCATCGCCTCTATCTTTGTGGGCTCAAAAACCCTTATGGTTGTTTCGATTTAGCTTATGCGCCGAGGAGAAAGAACTTGCTAGCTTGATGACAAGGGGTGCGATACTGATAGAGAGATTCTAGTTTTGGGTCCATGGATTTCTTCTTGATATCACTAAAAGGTAATATTATCAACCTTCTTGTAAAATAAGTTAGTTGCTATTAAATGATGAACAAATATCCATGGTTCAATCATGATGTTTATGCTTTTGTTTTATGCTTCTATTGCTTGTGATTTATTATGTTCAAATATGCATCATGATCTAAAATGAGCGAAACTCTATTGCCTAAAACCTTCGAGGTTTTCAACCCGATGTTTGACTAGTCTTTGACCGGCATTGTCGTATGTCTCAAGAATTATGCACCCTTCATGGTGTTCTTCCATACAGATCGATTACAAATTAACCTTATTTGAATTTATATAGCACCATGACATTGACATTATTTGGTAATCTAAAAGTTTTCACTACCCTAGGACCAATTCCACCTCAAAATTGCTAAGGCGCCCACTTGTTTAAAAAATCAAACTCAAATTTGGGTGATGATTTGTAAATGGTGATGAGTACTTTGAGAGATGAAACAAGTGTGCACAAGATAACTTGTGTGGATGGATCGATGAACTGATGAGAGGAATGGCGATCCGATATGTGGGAAGATTGGATGGGTTGGGAAGGTGCTGGAATCCGAGATTACTCTTCACATATTAATCCATTCATTTGAAGAAATTAAAGATCCATGGCTTTCTACTTTCTAAGCTTAATCTATCATACATCTTTTAAGAGCGATAATGTTAATTTTGGTATGTACAATAGCTTATCTCCTATTTGTTTTGTTTCTCTTGTGTGATTTTGACTAAACCTTAAAGCTTTGACCATGGTGTTCTTCATTTGCAGACCATGTCATCATTTTTATAACGATTACGTGCCCTCTCTCTTTAATGGTACATTGGTCCTCCTACAAGTACCGTGTAGAGAAAGTTGAACGAGAGGATTAAGATTGGAGGTCTGATGTTGTGGAAAAACACCAACATAGAACGTTGTTGTTTGTCGTTGTTCTATTTTCTTGTGAGTATTTACACATATGAACACACACACATGGGGGGGGGGGGGGGTGGTGGTGGACGTTTTTTGTTTCTAATATTCTTGATTTTATTAGAAATATAAAAAAAATTCAAAATATAAATGAATAACGGCAAGTTAGTCATTCCGGTTTGGGGAATGACCAAAACCATGACAAAATCTATAGAAATAACGGAATTCGTAAATTTGAAACCAGTCAAACCACATGGACTGAAACCAAAGAACGTCAAACCTCGATGACCAAATTTGCAGTTTTTCAGTAAAAAAATTACTAGGACTCTAGGCAAGAATAAAATAGATGTTTTTCATAGAAATGTGACTAATTCCGTTTACTGATGTCAAATTTTTGTAACATAACAAAATCATTATTTCCGGTCTCCATTACTTCAACGAAAAGTCATCAACATTTAACATGTTATAAATTATTACATTTCTAAAGAAATTGATGTACTAGGGGATACAATTGTTGTAAACTGGATCACTATTGAATGACATTTTTTTATTTCCCTTTTAACATTATTTCATTTCATTACACCTTTGACTATGGTATCGGTATGCCAAACACCACCTTTACTATTTTTCTGATATCAATATTTGTTGACGATAGTAGCATACTATGTTTATTTCCGAAAGCAACCTCCAACCTATATCAACATAAATAACATATCGCCCGAAACCCCCTACACACGTTTTACATACTTATCCCTACCACGTATAAACAATATAAATACGTATGCACAACGACAACCATACATGAATCCAATCATCTAGGACCCGATAATTGTTCGTTGCTAATGTTATAAGTTGAATCCGGAATTATCCAATCAAAATTCTGATTGTGTGCCTGGTTGTAATCTTGCCTGAAAATCTCCTCTTTCTGCCACTCCTCCCACCTCTCTGCTAACCCATCGCCTTCAAGCATTCTAACAACTTCTGACATCTTCGGTCGCTCTAGTGCCGTACCTTGTGTGCACAATAGCGCCACCTGGATCAACTGTTCCACCTCATCATCCACATAATTACCATCTAAATCCGCATCCACCAATGTCTCAAGCTTCTTATCCCTCAATAGTCCTTTCACCTAAACAATTCCAAACTCAAAACTCAAAACATGACATTTCATGACATAACAAATTTTACTATGTATTTGACTCTGACTGATGTCAATGAGACAAAAATTGCAGTACTGCTTACCCAATCAAGCAACATGACCTCATCATCATTAGCAAGTCGGGCAAGATCGAAGGCGCGTTGACCTGTGATGAGTTCGAGAAGCATCACGCCGTACCCAAAAACATCGGTTTTTTCAGAGGATTTCCCGGTGGATAGATACTCGGGGGCAATATGGCCAATTGTCCCACGTACAGCTGTCGTGACATGTGTATCTTTATAGTCCATGAGTTTAGCCAACCCAAAGTCTCCAACAACTGCTTCAAACTCCTCATCCAACAAAATATTTGCAGCTTTCACATCACGGTGTATAATCTTCGGGTCACAATGATCGTGCAAATACGCAAGCCCACGTGCGGCTCCCAACGCGATTCGTTTCCGTACCGGCCAATCAAGTGCGGGTTGTGTAGCGGGTCGATCTACAATTAATTATATCAATCATCAAATTATTCTTTTTCCTAACAAAAAGATTATTCTTACAGCAAACCCTGAGCTGGCCCACACTGTCCTACCCAAAGAGCATCATTTGAGATGTAAATCAGGTACACAGTGGCCTGGCCCTCACAGAGCCTAATCCACATTGGAATTGAAACTCCCACACTGCAACTGCCGAAAGGGAGGAGGATTTGATAGTAGTGAAAATACCTCGCAAACACGATGCAACACTTCCATTGGCCATGTAGGGATAAACAAGCAATCTTTCGGTTGGTGTCATGCAAAATCCTCTAAGCCGGAGGAGATTCCGGTGAACCGCCATACTAATCATCTCCACCTCCGTCTGAAACTGCAATTCGCCGCCTTGACTACGTTCCTCTTTGAGTCTTTTTACAGCCACCAAACCACCATCGGCTAACCTTCCTTTGTAAACTTTACCAAATCCACCTTTCCCAAGAACGTTATTGTTACTAAAACTATCGGTTGCAACTTGTAGTTCACGTAGAGAAAATCGTTTCAGTTGTCCCAAGTGGACTTCGGGGTCCTCTTCGGCTGAAAATATAAAAAGAATCAAATGAGAGGAAAATATTAGAAAAAAAATGGAATTTGGTGATTGTATTGTGTAAATGGACTAACCGGGAACATCAAAGAAATGATCTTGTGGTTTTCGGCGGCGATAATAAGCAAGTACGATTGCTGGACCTGCAAAAAGGAGAGCAGCACCGGCGGCAACTCCTCCGGCGATAGCTCCGGTGGCACTGTTGCCGACTGAAATCACAGTTGCATATACAATTAGAAACAATACTTTCTTTACAAAGGTAAAAATAAAGAAAAATAGAACCTACTTTCACAATTTTATCGATTTAGCCATTAAACTATTGATTCTTTATGTTTATAATAATAAGTTAGTGGCTAGATCGATTTGGAAAATAATAGTTCATTAGCTAAATCTACAAAATAGTCAAAGTATGTTGTGTTCTACTTCTGCGATCATGGTTTTTTTGAATGGTCAAAAAAAGTATAATGGTTCAAACTTTGAACCATTAGAGAATACAGTTAAGTGTTTAAATCGATAAAATGGTGACTGAGTAAGTGCTTTTTTGAATTTTAAACTAATATGTAGAGCAACGACTTACAAGACAACATACTTTAACCATTTTATCGCTTTAGCCACTTAACTATAATCTTTTATCCATTTAGCCACTAAAGTATTATTATTGTAAGGATCACAAGAAATCATCACCAATAAGAAAGCGTGAACATAGAAACACGTCACTCAAGTTTAAGAACCACTACGCAAAACACAACCTACTTTCACCTTATTATCGATTTATCCACTAAACTAGTATTTTTTTAATCAATTTAGCCACCTAACTATTTTAGTATTTTTATAACAATCATTAAGAAAACAATAGCTCAATGTCAATGACTAAATCACCAACAATAAAAAAACGGCTATTCAAGTGTAAGAACTAAGAACCACTTATAAAAAGTAATGGCATATAAGGGCAAATTAGAAATACCTGAAGAAGATTGAGAATTAGGTGAAGCAGGAGCTTGTGGAGGAGCTGGAGGAAGTGTCAAGTCGTTGTTACCCGCATAACTGAAAGAACAAAAGCTTGCAATCAACATCAAGAAGGGAAGAAACCATCATTTAATATCACAAATCATATTGCTAACAACAAACCTGATAGGTGTGAAAAGTGAGAACGACCCATTAATAGGAACATTCCCAGTTAACTTATTGTTCGATAGATCACTGCAATAAACACCAATTTAACAATTTTAGCTTTTTTGCAACGCTAAATTCCATTAAAACAACTATTGTTTCTTTTCTTTTCTTTTTCTTGTTTAACCACCTAAAGAACTTTTTTTTTATGTTTTAACCAAAAAAAACACTAACGGGTACTCACAGAACTTGGAGCGAATTGATTCCAGTTAAAGAAACTGGAATAGTTCCTGTCAAACTGTTGTTGTTGAGACGACTATTCTTGCACAAAAATAAAAACAGAAATGATTAAAAAAAGTCATAATTGATGATTTAAATGTAAATTATCATAAATTCATAATAAAGAATCTTGAATATTACAGGAAACGGAGTTGTTTAAGGTTGCCTAATGTGACTGGAATGCCACCTTCTAACTGGTTCATGTAAAGATCCAAACTCATCAAATTTGTTAAGTTTCCAAGCTCTTCAGGAATATTTCCAGAGATGTTATTTCCATAAAGCTCCCTGTTGTTCCAGAAATAGCATTACAAAATAGGGTTAAAAAGGGAAGAAATAGCAACCTACTTTTAATTTAATTGTGTTATCATCAATCATAGCATCCTACTTTCACTTTTTGAAATTATGGTATTTATATCAAGGAATTGTATTTGAAAAGTTTCATGTATTTTTCAAAAATATAAAATGAAAGTAGGATACTATAATAAATAAATTAACAAAAAGGTTGCTATTTCTGCATTTATAACGCATAATACTTCCAAAGGAAAATCCGGTAAATAAAAAATAAGGACTTACAAGTACTGTAAATTTGTAAGTTGACCAAGCTGTGGAACCAGTTGACCAGACAATTGTGCGTTTCCAAGATCACTGTGTTTGATAAAAACCAAAAAAGCACAATTTTGTTTTTAAATAAAAGAAACGAATGGAATAAAGAAATAACAATTTAAAATTTTTATAAGCTTACAGTCTGGTAACGAGATTCGATGGGTCACAAGTAATATGAAACCATGTACATGGATTCACAAGGGTCGGATCCCAACTTTGTAAAATGTTAGTAGGATCGTTTAATTGCGTCTTTAGGGCATTCAATGCATCACCTGTGTTATAAAAAAAATATGAAATTTGATTACGAATTCATCTCTAATACATCAAATTAATTGATTAACGAAGTTTAATTTCATGAAATTTCTATTTATGTTCTACGCAATTACTATCTGTTATTAGAACGGAAGAGAGTAAGATTGGGGAAATGATTCAACGAATCCAATTGCAATAAGTTGCAAAGTTCCAATTACATTCAAATTCTGAATCAAATTAACAATCTAAAAGCGCACATACCTTCAGCATTCCCATATACACTTGATAAGTTATAGAACCCGAAGATAAACCAAAGGGTGAATAGAGAGACTGTTCGATCCATTTCCCGCAAAATCGAGTCAAGCTAAAATCTTTAGATTCCTCATCAATTACTCAACCAGATCAAGAAATTAGAAATACCTAAAACCCAGAAACAACAAACGCTAGCTTTGAACGTAGTTCAGGTAAACAAAAATTACTTATCAAATCCAGAATTATAGCATCAAGAAGCTAAAACCAGAAACCCCAATTCAAGAACGACTTTAAAATGGTGATTTTGAAGTAACTTTGATGGGGGATTTGGGATAAAGTTGAAATTGGGGTTGTTAGTCAAAGTTCGTATTTTTTTTCTAATAAAAAGACAACTGGTTGCAGAGAGCATATGGAGAGATTAGTCTAGACAGGGATGAAGCCATTTAATCCATTCGTTCTCTTTTTCTAACAAATAAGTAAACGTAATCTTTTTTACCTTCTTAAATATCTTCTTGCCGAACATTGTTAAAAAAAATTATTTTAATTGTATATTTTTTATGGATAATTTTAAAATAATAAGAGATCAATTAATCAATCAGGTTTTTCTAAGGTTTATTGTAAATAATAACTTCTTTATTTTTAAATTGTAAATTGTAATTATCAATTATGTGTTTTTTTTTTACTTTTCAATCATTTCAAATGTATTATATTCCTTTGATTTTTGATTAAATTGACTTGTATGAACAATCAAGGTCACAAACAATATAAAAAGTATTTAATAAAGAAAACAGTAATATCTCAATCATTCTTTACTATTTAATAAGATAATAGAAGTTATTAACTTTTTTAAAGGCTACTCAATCCTGAATTTGAATTTGAGACTTCTTTTATGGGGAGCGACTGTCTAACCAGGTGAACCGGGTGGTGATGAAGATAAGTTATTAACTAATAATCCTTATTTTTTTTATTATTACTCAAAATTATATAATTAAGCCCCATCGTATAAAATAAGTAGTAAACTTGATTTGACCTATATTTTAGTGAAGTTATAAAACCAATTAAAATAATAATTTACAACGTTACATTAATATTAAAAATATAATAAAGCTATCTATAAGTCGATATCATATAGTATTTTTTTAATAAACAAAATAAGTAATTAAAATGGTTATTTATTTTTTAAATAAATAAATTACAAGAAAATCATCATTCAAAGAGAAAGGGATGGTGGAAAACCTAATAGGGTCAACGCACGGACGCACGGCGTCTACCCACTTTCCAGTAATATACTCCCATTTTCCCAAAACGGTAAAAGGAAAAGTCCTACTTATATATATTGGATATTTAAAATAATCATGTGTGACGAAAAAAAAGCATTTTTTTTTCAACATTTATGAACGAGCGGATTACTACAAGACGAAAGAAATGCAACATGTTATGTTACATAATCGTATTAAGAATTAACAAAATGATTAATTACAAGACAAAATTATAAAATTGGTCCATGTGGTTTTCGAAAAACTGTGGATATGGTCCAAAAAACTTCCAACTTGTATGGAATGTCCAAAATTAAGAAGTTTCCGTAAATTTGGTCCTGAAAAAGTTGAAATGACTATTTTGCTCGTATTATTTTTTTTTACATTTTTTATTTCTTTTAGTATTTAAATAATTATTTAAAAAAGAAAAAGAAAAAATGGCTCCACCCCTATCAATGCTCTCTCTCTCTCTCTCTCTCTCTCTCTCACACACACACACACACACATGAGAATTTTCTCCTCAGATCTTCTTCCCAACCTTTCATCTTCAACCCATCTTGTTGTATCTTCCATAAATCGGAAAACATGGCTCAAAAGCTCTGATGGGCATCTGTTGAAATTTCTCGGCGCTTCCGTTTCACAACGACGTTTCTGATGGGTGTCTGTATATTCCATAAATCGGAAAACCAACCAACATCGCCACCTGTCCAACACCTGCCTCAAAGCTCCGGTGGGCATCTAAAGATCTCGACCCCTTAACTACTTTTTCCATAGAGAGGGGGTTGCAGGCGGACTAAACCATTGTCGTCGAATCTGTGTCAAACAACCTTCATCTCGTAAGCCGCCTCTGAAATTGCACCAGGAGATCAAAAACACCACAATGAAGCCAAAATTGTGGTGATCAGCTTTAATCCTTCTGTAGGTTCTGTAATTTGATGAACCTCGATTATAACCTTGTGAATTTGCACCGGGAACACTCATCAACCTTAGTGAGTTTTCCAATTCCTTGCACTTTCGATCCCATCAAGTTTCATTTTTTAGCATTTGGTTTTTTTTACCGAATCATGATGGTTTTTCATCACCATCATCCTACTCGGTTTTCATTTCAGGTATCGAATATGGTTTTGATTTCAGGTGGAGGATGGCAGAGATGATTTTAGCTTTAGTTCAAATCCAGATCCAAATCTTGATGTTTTCTTTTTAGATCTTTTGTCGGTTCCTCCAACCATCGATTTGTGTGTATATGTTAATCGTTAGTCCTAAAATACACATAAATCAATTTGTTTCTTCCTGATGCCACCGATTTGAGATATAAAAGATCCGTATCCATGGAAATAACTCCTATATTTGCAAAAGATATATAGATTACTGAGGAGAATATACAGAGAAAGTGTATGTATGAGATTTGATTGAAGTTGAGACTGGGAAGAAGATGATAGGAGAAAGAGTCGAGAGAGTCTGTTAGAGAGAGGGGAAAGGGTTACCGGTGGGGTGGGGTGGGTGGTATTTTTTTTTAATAATTAATGAAATTGTAAAATAAATCAAGAAAAATATAAAAAAAGAAATAATAAGGGAAATACCGTCATTTTAGGTTCTCTTTGGACCAAAACCACATGAATTTCTTAATTTTGGGACCAAAATCACGGAAAATTCTTGATTTTGGACCTTTTCATGCAAGTTGGAAACTTTTTGGACCATATCTATAATTTTTCGAAAACCAAAGGGACCAATTATGCAGTTTTGTATAATTACAAATTTATAACTAGGGTATCCATTACCCCTCACCCCACCATCACAAAAAATGTTGTCATTCACATCATTACCATTTACCATTCAAAATATATTTACCAATTACCTTTAAAATTAGAGAGAGAGAGAGAGAGATGTGAAGGGTTTGTCTCACCTTTCACATGCCACACCCAACCCAAGGAGATGGTGTTCATGGACTATAAAGTATGCCACACATGCATAATGCGCCTTGTATTATACAATTTTTTAAAAATTAGTTCGAACCAATCAGTTAAACCAAAAAACCGAAAACCAGTGAAAAGAATAGTTCAAGTATCACTGATTTTATGTTAATTTTTAGACCGGATCGAATCGGATGATTCTCCAAAAATCGAGTTGAACCGTTGTCATAGAATAAGGAAAAAAAATGTTTGAACCGATGTATTGAACTTGGATTTCGCTTAGACCGTTAACAAAAGCTATTCCAACGCAAACTGAATAATGATAAACCATCAAGTTATCCCATTCGAACATCAGATGCCGATCTTTTTCTCATTCGAGCATTCAGACTCCAATCTTCTATATTTCTGTGTTCATGATTTTAACATTGAATGGGTTAACCCGACGATCGAACCGGCTTGCGATCACCACATCGGTTCAACTAAAAAATTAGTGTTTAAAATTTTGGTGTTATACCCATACCACTTGGTCTAATAACCATTTATTTCATAAGATTGACGTTGTGGGATTACTATAATTTAGCTTAATTTTAGGGGTCACAAATTACTTTGCGAAATCATTTAGAATTTGCTATAGTAGGGTTTTAGTTTATTTTTAGACGTGTATTCTTCATACTCCTCACACTTTACCCTGACAACTCATTGTCATATTATTTTCTACCGACTCTCCTCTTACCTTGGAAATGATCACCCCTCTTTTTTTTTTAATAAATATATTTCATATGAGAGTTTCAAATATATAAAATAATACATCAATATTATACTCTAATTATATATAACTAAAAACCATGAATTTTAATATATATTTTCTAATATATATATATATATATATATATATATATATATATATATATATATATGTGTGTGTGTGTGTGATATGAGCTTATTTAGTCATAGAAATCATTCATTATCTTATTAATTATTGTTGATTTTATATCATTTTATGGACAAAAGGTACTTAATTAGCTTAATATTTCAATTTCAGCAATAAAAGATATGCTCGGGTGAAAAAGGAAGAGGATTGAGTGATTGGAAGCTTGGAGATTGAAGACTGAAGAAAGAAGGATGTTGTTGGACAGCTTGACCCCTTGTCAGTGTTTTGGCCATATCTCATGAACCGTAACTCCGATTGACGAGATTCAAAATGTTCTGAAAACTAGACACAATTTCGGACGACTTTCGTGTTTTGAGAAAATGTTGATTCCAAGAGAACTCGACGAGTTGACCCAAAACTCGACGAGTTGGTCAGAATGTTCCCGATTCGAAGATGCCTTGCCGTACACGCTGTATACGCGGATTATCAAAAAAACTCGACGAGTTGGTGGTGAAAACTCGTCGAGATGGCCCTGTTTTCATAATTTATATATAGAAATGCTTCTCATTCGAACCCTAACACTTTCTGAAGGCTAGCTGCGATTATTGAAGACCAGAAGGGTTCTTGAAGCTTCAGTTTTCGAGATTGCAACATAAGAGACAATTTAGAAGAGAATCAAAGGAAAATAATCATTCTTCTTTTCTTAATCTTTTTTTTTGAACCATGTTTAAATCATTAGATTTTGATTTTAGGTTATTGCTTGCTGTAGATATGAGCTAAAAGCTTTTTACTTCTGTTTGGATAAGATAATCTTATGAACATGGTTTGATTGAGTGGTTGAATTGATATTGATTTGGTTATTCATCTTGTTAAGCTTATTAAAGACCCTTATGTATTGATGATAAATGTTTTCTGTTAATAAGTAAGTGATTGAGTTGTATGAATATCTTCTTGATTACTTGATTCATATAGTTTTGTGAATACAAGATTGTATGCCTAGGAATAGTGAATATGAAACTAGGGTTAACTAGAAAATGTGTAAATCAATGTGTGAGCATGTGTGATGAACAACCATACATGAGTTGATTGAATTGAACAAATTTTATTAACTATTGTTATAAGTCTTGCTTGATACGAACTGAACACTAGGAAACTTGTTAGTTTAATCAACTGGCCACTGTTTGAATTAACTTGTCTACTAAAGGATTGGTAATAGTGAACATGAACCCAATCATATTAGGAATCGGTAACCATTGACATATTGATCCATTGCACTTGCCACGAAATCAACCATAGGAATAAGTGAATCAAATCTGAACAAAAGTCTCTTTTATCATTGAATCTAGTTGTCCTTTCTTATTCTTCTTAGTTATTAATTGTCTTTGTTGGAGTGTTAATTGATTATTTAAGTTTCTAGTCTTGCAAAACTAGATAAACCTCATCTTTTATTACTTGTTTTATTTAGATAATATTAGCATTTATCTTAATTGACCGTTCCCTGTGTTCGATACCCTACTTACCTGAACTAAACTGCCAAACAATAGGTACACTGCCTTTCGTGTGTTTGTCTTTGTGTTTAAGTTAGTAGGATTAAAACTAGTTTGTTTAACACACATCAAGTTTTTGGCGCCGTTGTCGGGGAACGGTTCTAAAATTTATTTTAATTGCTAGTATTATCGATCCTTTGTGTGAGATTTATCTCATATAAAGTTACGAGTTTTTTTTTGTTTTAATATTTATTATGTATTTCCCAAATCTCGATGCTTTTGATGCTTTTCTTGAGGAAGTAGTACAGGAAATTGAGCAAGAAGATGAGGAATATGACTCAGATGATGATTTGAAGGAATTTGGAAGATGGTTAGATAACATCTTGCCTAATAAACAAGAGCAATTTGAGTTACAAGAGCTAGAGTCAAAAGATGAAGAATTTAATCCAGAAAGAGATTTGGAGGAGCTGGAAAGATTGCTAGCACAAGGGTCAGATGAAGAACAAGAACAAGCTGAGTTGCAGGAACCAAGTCGTGGTTTGACCATTACCACGACGTGGCCCCCTATTTTCCCAGATTGTGTTTCTAAGCATGGGGTGACGACTCCAACTTTGGAGAAAGTTCTGAAGCGCGATCCATTTCTGATTAGTATCCAACCGGTCCCAACCCTTATCAAGATTCTTGGGTTTTATATATTCAAGCTCGTTTGGCCAATTTTAGAAGCAAAGAGCCAAATTTTACAAATTGGTCCACCAAAGAAGATATTCAATGCAACGGATGGATTGGCATTGAGTTTATTGGAAGTTTATTAAGTTGAGAGTCCAACTAAAGACTCACACAAAAAGAAGCGCTTGCGGGAGGCAACCCGTCATTAGAGTTTGCTTTTCTCTTTCTTTCTAAACTTCTAGTATTTAGGGATAATTTAGGATTTTTATTTTGATGTTTTTTTTATTACTTGGTATTTGTTTTTGATCTTTTCAGAATATAGGGTGAGGGATAGAATGAACGAATAAAGCGTGAGGAATAAAACATGAGATCGAGTCTAAAACGAGAAGAATGGGAGAATTGAGTCTAATTACGAGTCCGATAATTAAACAGCTGAAGGGATGTGCTTTTACTGAAGAAAAATGAGGGGGAATATTGCTATAATAATCTACTCAAACCCCAGAAACGAACCTAAAGCAGGAACTAATTTTTTTCACTCAGTGAAGAAAACTCGTCGAGTTCCATTCAGATACTCGACGAGTCCATTTGGAAAAACCCGACTGTTATCGACTTAACTCGGCAAGTTCACTCTGGACTCGACGAGTTACTCTTTCTCTTACCTTCAAGTTGGTGATTGGATTACATTTGACAAGGGCAATTGGCTATACTATTAAAGATCAATTTCCGAGAATTCCCAAGACCTTTTTCCTCTATATTTTGGAGCCTAACCACACGAGATTTGACACCCAAGGCGTGGATGAGTTG